CATTTGATCAAATCTAGGCTTCTGAGCGTGGATGTGCCAGGTTTAAATAGCTCTGATGCACTAATTATGTCCTCTGGGATATGGGACGGTTAAAGAGCAGAGGGGCTATGGCAGCTATCCAGAATCATACGGTGTGATTAAAGAGGGGGACACACATATCCTACTTAGAATGGGCATAACTGGTACGTAAAATTAATTTTGCATGTCACAGCTGGCTCCATCTCGCTGCAACCAACCATGGCAAGTGGCTGGGTAGATTCCTCCTGGGGAAGTGCGTTTATTCACCTGCTGCAGGCTTTTTGGTTCAGCTCCACACGTTTCCCCAGGTGCAGGGTCCTGTTCTCTGTGGTCTGGACGTAAATGTGCTACATGTTAACTGCTGTCACTCTGCCCTCCCCTGAGTGATAATCCCATATTAAGTCCTAATTAGCTCCACTCCTCCCTGGCTTTAGAAGCTTGGTGGTGGCAACTTGGGGAGCTGGCAATTCCTACACTTTGGGGCACTGTGAGGTGCTGGCTGTCCCTGCCTTAGGACTTGCAGTGGGCCTGTCTGACCCCAGCACCAGGAAATTACAGCATCAGTGCATCCTCTGGAGCATGGAGTTTACAACAAAGACAGACAGATGTAGGGAGAATTTGTCCAAATACATATAAAGCCCCAAATGTAAGGTCTTTTTCCTAAGTTAATAACAAAGCTTAGAGGCCAATGCGGAAAACGCCTCAGGAACTCAAAGGGAAACATGGGTTCGCAGGGTAGAGAGTCCTCTCACCAGAAAGGTCTGGCTCGTGTGTCTTTGGTGTCAACACATCAGAGTCCCTGGGGAAAGCTGCATGCCCACAGGAGGCACAAGGCCAGCAGCTCCCAGAGAAATAGGAGCGGAGCTCCCCCCAGAGAAGCAAAAACCCAGCTCCCCTCCCCCCCAGAGAGGCCGGAGCCCAGCTCCCCCGAGTCACTCTGGTCTTCGGGGAGCATTTAGTTTTTGGTGGTAACCAGGACTCCTGGAGGTATTCAGGTGGGTCCCACAGCCCTGGCCAAAGGTCAGCCTCTCCTGGAAAGCCCTATCCTTTCCTCCCTTCACAAGAGGAGGTCACCTGATTCCAGTGGCCCTCATGCCATTCAGCTAACAATTGGGGGACTTCAGTGGGCTCCCAACTCCCTGCTGCATGACCTTCCAGGCCCACCTTCCATGACCCACTTGAACAGATTCACCTGAAGGGATTCACCTGTCCAGACCTGCTGGCTGGCCTTGAACCTGTGTACATGCATGTGTGTGGTGTGTACAGGTATATGGTATGTGCCTGTGTGTGTGTCTGTAGTGTATGCGTGTATGTACAGGTATGTGGGGGTGTGTGTGGTGTGTGCCTGTGTGCATGTATGAAAAGGAATGTGGTGTTGCGTGCATGTGTGTGTGGTGTGTGCAGATGTGTGGGATGTGTGTGTGGTGTGTGCAGATGTGCGGTGTGGTGTGCACAGATGTGTGGGATGTGTGTGCATGTGTGTGTGT